ATTTTCAACTGTAAGTTTTTGTTTATATGTACATGGAAGTGTATGAATATTTGCATTCCCTCTTAAATGGGTAGATATAATTAACTAGAAATAATAATTGCATTATTATGCAACTGATTTGTTTCATTTCATTCATTCATCAAGTGGAAATTCAATTAAAATCCATAAATATTTTTAGCACTTTCAATTTTATTTAATTAATTAATTTATTTCACTTCATTTATTTTAATGCAGTTAAAAACATTTTTAGCATTTTCAATTTTAGTTAATTAATTTATTTAATTATTTTATTTTTATTTTTTATTTATTTTATTTATTTTTTTTTCAATTAACTACATTAAAAATATGTTTCCTTTTTTCAACAAAACATAATTTTTTTTTTTTTAATTTTTTCCTTTTAATTCCTTTTAAATTTGAAAATTTTTAATCTTGTTATTATAGCATGAATGAACATTAAATATGTATATGTATTTTATTCTCTTTCAAATCTACATCCTCATATAAAAAAAATATTAAAGAGTTTTTCAAATTGTTTTCTTTAAATTTACTTTTATATTTTAATTAGTACTATGAAGATAATAAAGATAATAAAAATAAAAAAGCTGTATCGTCATTTGACATTTAATTACCTTGCCATAAATCGTTTGAAATGCACAAATATTTGCATTCATTTGAATTATGCAATTTTAAATTGCATTTAATTTAAATGAAATCAAAATTTGTATTTAATAAAAGCAGATGTAATTATAACGTGTTAATGCGCGGAGCATAATTAAAAATGTTATCAGTTACCGTGGCATGACTTTTCACGGCATTTGGCAGGTGGTCGCGGATAGAGCTGCGTGTGGTGCGCCGTGGTGCGCCGTGGTGCGCTGTGGTGCGCTGTGGTGCGCTGTGGTGCCGGCAGCTGTGTACGTCAGTGGCTAGTGGCACTCGCAGTTAGTTTTTATTGGCTTCATTTGGCATTGGATGGCCAACGAGCACTGAACACCGAACGTCAAACCAACGAGCCGGTCATATGTGGTGCAGTCAGTTTGATGGTTGTTTTTGTGGTTGCGAGTGTGTGTGTGTGAGTGTTGCTAGACGAGTGAAGACTCGTTATTTGCATACAAATGGCATTTAGACTCGTAATACACTGCGTATACGCAATAAAAGTGTTAAGCACCCAAGCAGCAATAACAACAATAAGAACAACAACAGGGACAACCGCTTGGGCTGCCCATTAAATGCAACAATAAATTGCGTATACGCAACGAATGGGTCCGCGACTTGACATCCGGAATCGACTGTCATGGCATGCCCGAAATTTAATTAGTTGGCATTTAACATTCAGCATTTTGCAGCTGATGTTTTTATGTTGATGTTGTTGTTGTAGTTTTTGTTGTTGTTATTGCTCATTTTCCGTCCAATGGCATTCGCTGCCTTTTGGGCATTTCATTTATTCGGCCTGTGTTGTTGTTTTCAGTTCTTTCCTTTTTTACTTTTATTTTATTTTTCAGTTAATTAAACGCACGCAAACATTTCGACGTTCTAAATTATACGCAATTAAATTTGAAATTACTTTCGAGTGAGTTCTGCTCGCGGCAATAACTTAACTGGAAATTTAACTGTAAGCCCCGCTGCCGCCGCTGCTGCTGCTGCTGCTGCTGCTGCTGCTGCTGCCGAATGTCACATTTGATGTGGCCCCTTTCTGAGAAGTCAGTCGACCATTTGCGTAATTGGCCAACGCCTATGGCAACTTGCCTTTAACTTTTCCGGCTGGCGAGTTTCAGGTATCTTTAAGTTGATATCCTGCACCTTAACCTTGTTTGTCTCGCTGCGAGAATTGCACTGTCTGCGCACTTCATTATGCATTAGAGGAAAAACAAGGCAAGTGAAAACTTTGCAGTCGAGCTTAAGCAACTGCACAATACTCTAGCACAAGTCTAGAGTCAGCTCTGAGACTTGACGATGCTAGCACATAGATAATAATATTTACAAACCATATAAATAAAGGAATTATACCTGTTTCGCATGCCCAGCGAATGGTTAATAACAATTCCTGTACTTCCAATACTTTTTTCTTAAGATACATTAACCTTATACTTACTCCAATGAGATTGAATAGAAAATTGACTAATATGACTAGAAAAATGTTGCATCTGAACATATCATATGGAAATATCATATACCTAATATGCTGCACATATTGCTCAACGAGCTGCCGAGGCCATAGCTGGAGTCATGTTAATGTAATGTCTTATATATGCAATATATTTTAATCTTCGGCACAGTCTTTTTTATGCTTAAACAATATGAAAATACTTATACATATATATTTAACAATCAATTTGTAAGAGGTCATTCTACGGCAGGGATACTTTGCTGGGCTCTTGGGTAAAATCGGGCAAGTTATTGATTGCAAGAGCGATCAGCATCACTAAAACCAAAGCGATTATTAGCAATACAATTGTTGCCACAAAACACACCAGATTTATCATGCGACATATGAGTTCGAACGGTGTATATAGGTCTAGGATGTTGACCGACTCCTCTCCGGCTATCATGTACTGCGTCTTGATCACCGTCGTAAGCGCAATGATATTGCCCAGAATCAGGAAGATGAGCATTGAAATGAGCTAGATGAATGCAAGTCAAGTGAAGGTATACTAAAATGGCGATCTTAGGAGGTTTATATTCGAGTACAAACCACATAGCGTATGTGCCGCCTGGGCACCGCAAAGTGCGAATTATATAGCCAAGGACTCAGTCCGTAGAGAATGCAAGTGTAGCCGGTGCTCGCGCTGATGGTTTGCCGAACCAACTGCTGAAAGCTCGATGAAGTGGGCAACACGTGGCCAAACACTGCTGCATTCAGTATGCAGATCACCTGTCGGCTATAACGATGAGTATTGGGAGCAACTACATAGATATATGGTTAGGCAGACCCACCGCTGTTATAAGCAAAATAATCCCAACCACATGCTTCTTGGTGAGCGTATTAAGAAGCCGATGGGCCATTGACCGCGAATTTAGTTGTTCTTATTAATATTTATATAAACAAATTATTCTAAAATCTAAAAGAGTGAAAAGTCAAAGTAATAATTGAAAATGAATATATTCGAAATATACATACATATACATACGTACATACGTATATATATATAAAGAAAAGCTAATCAAAGCGTGATTGTCCGCTTGGTATGTGAGAGCTCGCAGGGTATAGAGAATGGCGGAGGGTCTTCGATAGTTACTTTAATGCTGGAAAGTATTATATACAATAGAATATCTTGAACCTTTGACGTATTAAACACTGAACTTTGAGTTTTTATAGCTTTGAGAAAGTTTATGGGCGGATGATAGGATATGTGTGCATATAGACCATCTTTAGAAAGGCGTATATAAGCTGGATATAGTATTGAAGGTATGCCATATGCTACATCAATATATAAGAGCCTTTATCTAAATAAGCCTAGGAGTACTAACAGCACTTACTCAGAAATCAGTTTTATTTTAATATTAATATGCATTTAAATTTGCATTAATATTTGCTATGTTTATATCAATCTTCGATTCAACTGCATTCAATTTGTGCTAATGAAATACAGGCTTCATATATTTACATATATATTTGAAGTTTTTCCGTTTTTTCTATGGGTTTGATTTGATGCCCCTCTTATCTTATCGTGCCATATAAATGAGTTCTATTCAGAGTTTTGCTATTTGTGCAACTATTATTGAAAATTGTGTAGCTCGAACGAGCCGTGGCCAGCCTACTCCATTGGCTGGTATTTATATAATCATTCAAAACAAATTGAAATTTTCTTTTTGGCATTGAGGGCACTTATCTAACGGGCGCAGGCATGCTGGCTCCAGCTCTTGCTGCTGCAGCTCAGACTGTGGCTATGGCTGTTGCTGTTGCTGTGGCTCTGGCCTCATCCGCATGAGGAGTGATGCCGGCAACCGGCGCTAATTCATCAACAGTAAAGGCAATTTAGATACTCATCTAACCGGATATCGACAGGCAGTCAGGCAACCGGAGAGCGAGACAGCCAGGAAGACAGAACGAGACAGCTGGAGACAGCGAGAGGAGCTGGGAGTGCTCCGCTGGCAGCAGGAGGCCAAGTGAGCTGATACCGATACTGATACCCTTGTCCTTGTTTGCGGCGGCATCGAGGCGAGGCGAGGCGGGGTCTGGGCTCTGTGTGTCCTGCAGACAGAGTTTCATAAAATATTGATAGACGTGAAGTTGGCAGCGCATATTCGCTTCCTGTTCGTGTCTGCCGCAGCCATAAATAATTTGCTGTAAATGCAATCGTGGGGTTACATGGCGCGTAACCGAAACAGAAGTGTGGGTGCAGGTGAGCGAGCAGGAAGCAGCAAGCAGGAAGAAGCAGGAGGCTGCCTGGCTGCCTGGCTGCCTGTAACAACGTGATGCTAATGGGAAGGCGGCGCTCGGTGCGAAAGTGTTTTATATGAATTATTCGCTGGGAGCCAATTGGGAGCCACGTTTACGAGCACAATTGAAACTCAACACCGTCGTTGGCCATCGAACGGGCGCTCCTCGATTTGCTGCCTGTCGAAATGCTGTAATTTGTTGTAACTGAATGTGGGTGGCACCGCAAGTGCGTGTGTGTGTGTGTGTGTGTGTGTTGGTGTATGTATGTGTTGGTGTGTATCTTTGCAAGCGCTTTTTAATAGCTGCTCGCTCGCTGCGCTGCCAGCGACTGTTGCTGCTTATTATTGCTGCTGTTATTGTATCGAGTACAGCCAGCCGCCCCCTGCCACCCCTCGCCAACCCCTGCCGCCCTCTGCTGAGCGTGCTGCATGGTAATGTGTATTTAATGACGCCATATCATGTACAAGCTGGAGCATAATGCTGGCCATAACTGGAACCCGGGGCCGCTATCCTCAATGGCCCCCACCTCTGCAGCCCAAAAAGCTAATGTCCAGCTGCTTCTCGCACTCCCGCGACTCCTGCCACCCCGGTTACTGTGGCCGGCTGGTGCCAATAAAGCAGGCGGGTGCGCCTGCTGCTACGCATTTCAAATTTTTCACTTTTATACATCTCGTTTTTAATATTTTTTCAAGTGGCCCCCATTAAACGTGGAGCACTGGCCTAATTGACGCTTCGCTCCACTGTCATATTTACCTGATGTAACGACGCTAATAGCATTAAGGGATTATTTATAGCTGCCCCAACGAGTCTTCTACATCAAGTAATCGCATCTAATTGTGGTCAAGTCTGCATGCAGTTCGCTCTCTACTGAAGTGCTGCATTATTTACATAGAGCTCTCGCCTTAACGAGTTGATGTTTGCTTTCAATTTGTGTGGCTTACGTCGCCCCTTCAGCTATGCCTGGCCAATTATACAAAATTTTTAAGACAACAATCATTTTTAATGGCCATCGGAACTAAGGAAGGCCGTGCTGGGGCATGGGGAGAGCATAGAAAATAGCATGGGTTGCATGCCTGATTGCCTTGCGGCAGGATACTTGACTGGCCTGGACGCTTAAGCAGATTGAAACAATCTCCGGTGTGTGTAAGTGTGTGTGGGGGAGGGGAGTGTCAGCTGAAAGCTTTAGCTGCTGTTAAAACGAAAAGGAAATGCTTTTTCTTATGCGCTCGTCGTTGACTACGCCCCCACTTCACCTGTCAGCCGGATAATTTATAATGAAGCTTCCTTATTGACATTGGCAGGCGGTGCAAAATGGCGGCTCTGGCGCTTCCGCTGCATTGATTTTTGGCTGTCATGCATGCAGCTTGGCTGACAATTGGCATAAATTATGAACAGCAGGAGCAGCAGCAGCAGCAGCAGCAGGAGCAGGAGGAGACTTTGCCGCTGAAATTGAAAATTAAGGGGCAGGCTAAGTGGAGCGGGCAGCGGACGTCGCTTGAGTCAAGTAAATAACAATCAAAATCACTTTCGACCCCCAGACGATTTATTTGGAGGGACTGAAACAGCATTAGAGCAGCGCAGAGCAGGCGGAGTCGCCGGAGTCGCTGGAGACATCTGAAGGCATCTGGAATCACAACTATGAGGCCTTAATCGCTAGGGCCAGCCTCATCGCCGTCGTCAGATCGTCAGAGGTTTTGATTTATTGCTATTTTATTTGCGCATATCCTTATTTGCCTTCTGTCGACTTAGCGAACAGCCATGCCTGCCCTCAGTCCGCAGTCCGCAGTCCTTAGCCGCTCGTCTGTCAGCTGCGACGGCCTAAGGCTATTTTATTGTTCGATAAGTTATCAGCGGTCGAGCAAACAAGCAGCCGAGCAAAAGCAAACGTTGCGGCTAAAACTTGACTGGGTCGGCATGCCGGACTCGTACTCTGATTCCGACTCCGACTCTAGCTCTGACTCCGACTCTGACTCTTGGGCAGGCAGTGGGATTCGAGCTGGGACTGGGACTGGCTCTCACGATATCATAATTTCACTCGCTCTGAAAGTAACTATGTTTATGTTTTGTACGAGCTGCCTAAATCTAAATTAAATGCCTTTTGAGCACAGCAAAAAAAATGAGAGAGTTGATCGGACAGACAACGAATAGTAGTTACCCTTTGGATAGAGTAAATGTAAACTGTATGGAAAAGTGCAGAGGTCGAGTTTAAAAGAGTTAAAAACAGACAGAGAAGAAATAGGAGAGGAGAGAATGAGGTGCGATAGGAGTTGAGAGGAGAGCTAAGATGAGATATTAAACATGACTGCATGCGGATGGGATAGGATGTTTGTAAGTATGTATGTATGTATGCATGTGTGTATGTAATTATGTATGTATGTATGTCTGTTTGTATGTATGTTATTTAAATATGTAGGTATGTAAGTGTGTATATATAAATACGCATTTATCATCTACAATATTCAACATATTTTCATTACATTTGAGTCAAAAGTTGTCTAAAACTCTAACTCAAGTTAATAAAGTGCGTGACATATAAAAAATGAAATAAAATAAATAAATAACACTTCTCAATATTGAAAAATCTAAAAAGGTCTTAAAATCATTCACGACAAATATTGTATGTATGTATTTATGTATATGTAAATATAAAAGGTGTTTAGCAAAAAATATGCCAAATATCAACTATTTACAATATTTTGCCAGCCTTTACTGTCATATATTACCATACAAGACATTTTTCTTTATATATATGCTCTTACAACTCCCTCAAACCACAATACACCACACAAGTGCCCCACAGACTGTAGAGTATCTGTGAAAGCCTTCAGCACGTTGTCACTCGCTGTGTGAAAAAGGACTTGTACTTGGTCTCTGACTCGGACTCCGAGTTGGACTCGCAGTCGGAGTCGAGGGCGGCCACACCCACGCGTGATGGGCAGTGTTTGGGCGCGGGCAGCGCAAATAAATATTAATCATTGTGTAATAATTTTCTGCTGTCAGCTAAATTTAAGCAAAGTATTCATAATCCACAAGTGAAAAACCACTTTTGACAAATCGTTTTGTGCGTCTTCCGCATGCTTAGGGCAACAGCAGCTGCTCGAAGAAGCGAAAAGGAAAAAGAAAGCAGAAAAAGGAAAGTAAAAGAAAATACACTTTTAAAGTTGGCAAAGCTGATTTGATTGCTCGAATTGTGTTTCACACATTTGGAAAGGACCTCTTGGCAGCAGCAGCAGGAGCAGGAACGGGCGCAGGAGCAAGTCCTTTGCGGCGGTTGCCAGGCAAATGGGTTTGCAATAATGAAAATGTATTAAAGGCCGATACCTTTGTGCGCAGCGACGTCTCTCTAACTCGTTTGGGTCAAACGAATATGTTGTGTTTATGCAGGACGACGGTCGATGGGGGCGTGGCTGGGCAGGCCAGGCATTGTCCGTGCGGTTGCCGCTGGCTGTTGGCATTCGATGCACGTAGCGCATTGTTTGAATTTCATGGCGACTTTATGAGTTTTGTAATCAAACAAAGCCACGCACACACACGTTGATGACGTTGTTATTGCTGCTGCCACTGCTGCTGCTGCTGTTGTTGTTGTTGTTGTTAATGCTGCTGTTGTTGTTGTTGGCTTAACCTGCACATTAATATGTCAGCTGCTTGCAGACGGCATATTTGGGCCAGCTTGGCGCTTGTTAATGCTAATGAGGTACGCCGAGCAATCAAATATTAATGCCAGAGACTTGGCAACGCCGTCGACTTTAGTTGCAGCAGCAGCAGCAGCAGAGGCGGCAACAGCAGCCGCCACTTACAGTATCTGCTGGAAATATTTTATTGCATACTTTCGGGCGCAGACATTACCTGTGCCAGGTAGGCGGGGCACACGCAAAAAGAAGAACAACAACAATAACAACAACAACTAAGCAAACGTCGCTCGACAATGTGATTTATTTGTGCTGCAGCACTTAAAAACTAGACGTACACACAATGCCGGCCACACCCACATCGACACGGCGTGTGGGCGTTCGACTGGAGTTCGTAAATTGAAAGGCATTGCCGGAGTGCCGTTCCAGGACTTAGTCAACAGACGTGCGGGCAAACAAAGGCTGCCCTGGCCAGAAATTAACTAAGCAACAGTCGCTAGCTACTATGAAAAAAACAGAAAGAGAAAGGGAAAGAGAAGGGGAAAGAAACTAACAAAAATAAAGAGAAAATAGAGAAAGGAAAACATTTTCAGGCACTCCAACCCGTCCCACAGAGAGAAAAAGAGAGAGAGAGAGAGAGAGAGAGTGCAAATAGCTGGATGGATGGTCCTTTGCATGCCGGCAAGGAGCATGTCCTGCGGCTCTATCGGTGACCATCTATTGAAGGCCTGCTCAAAAGCATTAAATAAATATTTGCTTGCCTCTGCAGGAATTTTTACAGCACGTACCCACTAAACGCATAAAGCACAACAATGCTGAGCATAACACGCAACACACTCACACACACACACACACACATACACATAAACATTGATATATGTATATTTTGTAAATATCATATCATCAGCAGTTTTCTATAGAGTCCTCATTGGTCGGCTTTTTGGGGTTGACTCTCCGTTGGACAGTTCAGTGTTTACCATTTATTTTTGATTTGGGTATTTAAGGTGCGGACGGACAGGGCTGTAATATATGTGTGTGTGTGTGTGTGGGTGCGAGCGTGCGTAAGGCACCCTGAGCGCGTTGGCCGTGTGTATTCAGGGCAGGGTATTCACCAGGGTGTTGACAGCTTAAGTGACATTTGGCAGCTCGAGCATATCTAATATCTAATAAATTGTGACAAGCCAAATGTAGAAAAATGTTGGCCAAGCACAAATCAATATGCAGTTAAGCAAATAGCCATGGCTCTAAAGCATTCATGGATAGCTAACATAGATAGTGTGAATGGATGTACATAGGCATATATATGGATATATATGTACATATACATATGTATATATATGTATGTATACATGTACATATGTATATATATGTATATATACATGTACATATGTATATATACATATAAAAATATAATAATACAAATATAATTCTCATACAAAGTCAGTGTTGTATAATTCGCTTGAGTGGGATCTTAAGCAACAATAAAGTGGAGCTGGATGAGCGTGATGGGCTGACGTGGCAGAAATAAAAACCCATATCGAGAGAAATTAATACTGACATTAATACTGCCTTTTAATACTGACATTAAATGATCTACTTTAAACACCTGAAAGTAAATCTTTACTAAGCACTTTATATAGGGCTGTCCATATTCGACAAACCTATCTGGTTACGACGGAACCATGTTTTTTTTTTTTTTTTTTTAAGTCAAAGTACAAAACAATTTTCTTATGTTGACTAGAAAATAATTTTAATTGGTTCAAGTAGATTTATTGACATCACTTTTTGAATGTGATATCTCTCAAAAAGCCGCCTTGAGTCTATACGGGTATTGTGTACTTCTCTGTCAAAAAATATAGGGTTACCAGAGAGGTAGGTCGAATATGGATAGCACTGTAAATACATTTTTACTTATTTTACTTTTTTACTTAACAATTTTGTATATTATATGTATATCGCCACTGCTCTATGCATACATGCTAAAATCAAAATATACCTAAGGTATTATGCATGAATTTTAAATAAGAGGCGTCACTCTTGGGATCAAATCCCAATTCAGCATTTCAATCATCACAGTAATATATGTGCTGTCTGTCCATGCAGTAATTTGCTAAAATATTTCCACTAAAAGTAGTTTTAATTTCCAACACCTCATTTATTTAATAATCTATTATTCAATTTGTGTGATAATTGTTTCGTTTATGCGAATCGCAGTTGGGTTTTACAGTCAACAAAAACGTGAGGACAAAAGCATTTGAAATTGATATTATTATATACATAATTGACAAGGCGTATCTAATCAATACACACACACATACATGGATGCAGTCACATAAATATATATCTATAAACATATGCCGCAACGATAACAAAATGGTCTCGGCGTGCCAAACATTTGAATTTGAAATAATTAACTTGCATGCTAATTAGTTGCATTATCAATACAAAGCGCATTATTGACATTAGTTGCTGTTGCTGTTGTTGTTGTTGTTTTGTTATGACAGCAACATGAAAGTGACCTTAAAGTCTGGCACAGTTGGCTTTTAGTGTCAAAACGTTGCGCTAATGGGTATTTATGGCAGACATAGATATATTCATATACGATGAATAACAAGTCATCAAAAGCGCAATATCAGCAAGTGCGCGGCAAGTGCAATGAAGGACCTCAACATAAATCATCCAGCACACCCACACACACACACATGTGCTCACAAGTGTCGCCTGGTGCCTTGGCATGAGTTGAATAAATTTATTGTTGTGCATTATGTTGCCTAGATCGCAGCTCCTTCATGTGCACGCACACACCCACACACATACAAATAGACATATATATATATATATATATATATATATACGTATGCGTAATAAAAAATGTCCATTATGAATATGAAATGCATTGCATTTAACCATGGCAACGAGGCAGCCGCCTGTTAAATAGATGGCTCGCAAAGTGTAAATAATGCCAAACCGCGACTCACTTCATAGGTATGAATATTAATTGGTGTGAGTGTTGCTGTGTATGTGTGTGGGTGTGGGTGTGCCACATCCCCTGGCAGGCTAATCGCCGACAGCCTACACCAAATAAACTCAAAAACTAATGGCGCAAAAACAGAGTCTATGAATAAATCACAGCAGATTAACTCGCAAATTATGCGAAAAGGGATAAGAGATGGGAGTGCTCCCATTTACCCCTTCGCTCTCTCATCTACTCCCCCACTCTGTCTATGTTTCGGTGTCAGATCCTAAACAAATATGCGGCACAAGCTAAACCCAATGCCCCAAACACAAAACATTCCGAGCTACACTCAAATACAAACAGTTCATGTTCGAATATACATATATATACATAAAATCGCATCGATTTGCATAGGTTGATATTCGGGTTTGAGCATAAGACAAAATACTGAAAAGCTAGTCGGGGAAGCTGAGCACTTTAAATTTATGCAAATTATTGATTTATAATAAATAAATAAAGTAAAATGAAAGTATAGTAAATAAATAAAATAAAGTCTCTCACAAATTGTCCAGAGTTGCTTAAATGGAAAACAGGATATGTGCAAGTCGAACTCTGCCCAGTTGTTTAAGTAGAGTATAGAATTTGGCCAGTCGAGTATGCTCAACTTTTTAGAGATGGAAGACAGCAAAACTTCTCATGAATTGCTTAAATTAAATACAGAGTCGAGCATGCTCTACTTCAACTTAGAGTAGCTAAAATTAT